CTACTTGTGTAAGACCATTTCTGAATAACCTTCATGTTATTTTGGGCCACTGTTGTTTTGTTCTGCAGTGTGCAGGTGGCGTCCACTGAACAACACGATGATGTTAAACGCTAAATATGTTCCTTAGCCTCTTGAGTCACCAGGATTATTGCGTTCTATTGTTTTCTAAGATGCAAACAAAGCTTTGCAAGGTCTTCTCTGAGTGTGCACAGGATGAATTTCTCAGTGATGATGTGTGCTTTCTGTTCAGTCCTGTGTGACAATGGGAATCATTGTTAGAGAAATGGCTCACACAATGTTATCATGGGAGCTGTGACAGTACCCAGTGGCAGTATCTCAATGAGCTGTATTGATGTTCTCCTACTTCCCATTCACTTGGATCCACACACTGGCACGACTGTAGCCAAGCATTCTGATGAGGTAAGTCACACACAATAGCACATTTCTCAGCTGCTTTGTTCCACACAAATATGACTTGTCAAGGCTTTCGTGTGCATTTATCCTCAGTGGTGTCATACAAGTGGTGACTGAGGCCATTGTGCCGTTTTGCTTTCAACAGTGAGCTTGCCTGAAGCCGAGCGCTCCTTCACGGTGCTTGAGACGTGTCTGATGTGTTGATTAGCTCTGAACCTCACTTACAAGGTGATTAGCTCAGTAGCAGCACTCAGCGAACAGTATCTAATCATTTTAAGTAAAAAAAATAAATAAATAAACTTGCACATTGATTTCAAAAGCAAAGCAACCTACAAAGAAGGTAGTTTTTCATTTTTTACAGCAGGCTGTAATAGTCCAAATGAAGTCCAAAAACAAGTACCAGGTCCTGGATACAAGACTGCAAGACCGACAGGTACACAGACCGGTCAGGACCGCAGACAGGTAGCAGGAGGTAAGCAGGCAGGTAAACAGACAACCCGGCAGCTCAGAGAGGGACAGACGAGACGACACCAACACCAGGTAGAGCAGATAATCACACAAACCAAACCAAGCAAGCAAAACAACCAGCTGCTGACATAAAACAAGCTGGTGAGAAACACAAATGAGAAATATTACAGCCTCAGGATTTTTCACAGCCAACGTTTGTGCAGACATCTGAGTGAAGGAAAAGTGGAGGAAACTGAGATCATCTGAAAATGACAGTTTGGCTTCTGTAGATCAGAAACCATTTAAACACAAACGACACCGCGTCCCGTCGTCCACCAGCGCGCAGCGTTGAGTCCTTCATCTGATTTTGATGTCTGTCCTGAAGAGGACATCAGCAACTTACATCCAGTCATCATCAGTTTAATGTCCTGCGACCTGAACACCAAACATCAAGCAATATCAGATGAAGTAGTCCGTTTTTTGTTTTTTTGTTTTTTACAAACGCTGACCCAAACAGATTAGATGAAATAAACATGGCAGCGCTGCCACCTGCTGGTCATCTGTGTACCTGCCTCCTGTCCGTGTGCTGTACACTGACGCAGTGACACAGTTTAAGGGTTTCACTCATGTTTCAGTTTTAATAACTTCCAATGTGTGCAGCAGGAGTATTTCCTAATGCTGCTTCACTAAACCAGAACCTTTACTAACATTAACAATGCATTACAGATATTAGACTTATATTGAGTAAAAAAAGACCAGGATTTCTGATACAACTTCTGCTCCTACACGCTGAGAAAGAGACGATTCATTCACTTGGTTTCAACATCACTGCTTGATGCCACTAAATCCTACACACTAGTAATCTGAAGAAGAAAAAAAACACACAGTGCTCAACAAATTCATGAGACTGTCACAAAAACTAGAAAACATTAACATTTCCACTGGGTCAGATGGTCTCTGCACTGCTCTGAAGTTCTGCTGGGCTCGTTGTCTGGTTGGTGTGTGAACCCAGGACCAGTCAGGTTCAGTCCAGAAGGGATCCATGATGCACTAAGGTGTTGTGGTGACGTCAACAAGGTCAACAAGGTGACGACAGCTGTTTTAATTTATGTAATATTAATGCAAAACTGTGTAACTAGGTAACATGAAACTGTTTGACAAAGAATAGAATAGAATAGAATAGAATAGAATGCCTTTATTGTCACTATACACATGTACAATGAGATTGAGAGCAGCTCCTTCAGTGCCATATATAATAAAGTACAAAATAAAGAGCAAAAAAAAAAGAAAAAATAGAAGAGATTTAAGTATAAAAAAATAAGATAAGTTATATATACAGTCTACAGTATAGGTTATATGTACAGTGGAAAGTGGAAAATGTAAAGTGGAAAAACAGAATATTTTGAAACTATCTTTGATTTTTTTTTGTAGGGCTGTCATGCGAGGAAAAAAAAGGCTGCAATATTTCAAGGTGGACAGACAGGTGACCAGGTGTATATTCCTTCAGTTTCTTCAGATTATTTTATGTTTTATATTTTTTAAGAATTATTTTTGTCATGAAAGACAAACCTGGTTTCACGGGGGATGAATAGTTTTTGAAGGCACAATATATGCATACATACAAACACAGAATCGTTGCCTTTACGTTTGTATTTCTGTCGTAGTAACGCTCAGGGTATCTGCAGGATTCAACAGCAGCTCTTCTCGCCAGTTGCAGCAGACTGCGCACCACCTTTGCACAGACCCGGAAAAGCACGATGTGTTGTGGACATGTGGCTGCAGCTGCGTCAAGTTCACACACAGAAACAGCACAATCGCAATGTGGCCTTCAAAATAAAATGAGGACGTAACTTACTGAACGTAAAGCTTCAGTACTTCACACTTTAGAAACAGTCAAAAACTACAGTATGCTGCAGAGGAACTTCACTGTTTCTGGGTGTCGCTTAATGGATGGATGATGGATGAATATGGGCCCATTCAGGGCACAAAAGCTCATTTCTTCATGTACTCGTTACCGATCAAAAATGTATGTTAAATTGCAAAAAACTTCGTAGAATAATGGAGGGAAATAATGCAATGATATCCTTTTAGAAATAAGTTTCAATTAAACCTTGGATTTATTTAAACTAAAAAAAAACAAACACTTTACAGTGGTTTTGAAACGCGACAGGAAGATCTTATTGTGAAGGTTAATAACGGAACTAGTTTTGTTCGTTCCGGTGACAAACCGGAGTCCCTGAGGTCTGCTCAGCGTGGATCCTCGCCAAACAAGCAGGTATTCTTTTCAACAAACTCACCGTTACTCTTCTTACTAAATGTTTGTGGGGTTTTAAACTCATCGGATTTGTCTCGTCGAGCGGCTGCCGTCGTGTCAGTGTCCCGGCTAGCCTCGTTTAGCTCCGCGGCTAATTAGCCGCCAGAGCTAGCATTGAAACAACTCAAGCGTTTGCGTTTTATTTTTATTTTTATTTAACCTTTATTTAACCAGGCAAAGACATTAAGTACAAGATCATTTTGCTCCCCACCTGCCTGTCAACATCGCTGCTACGTGGGGTTTGGTTCGGAAAGTATTTTAATGAGATATTTAGTGATGGAGAGAAGTGCAGTTAGCGAGGTCCTGCTTTGAAAGATGTGTTTTTAGCCCTTAAAGGCGTTTATCAGTGCTCACTCCGTTCACATCTACAGTAAATGAAGTGTCTCAGCTGCCATTGTTAGAACTACACCGCTATCAGGGTGGAAACTAAGCTCGGTTCGGGTCTTCCAGGTCATCCAGGTCCAGGTGAGCTCCTCTATCATTTCTATCACGTGATCTTAAGCAGACACGCGGCTCGTCACCAAGCATTCATGTTTTTATTTAATGCTCAATAAAACTGTTTTTTGTTTTTTTTGCTTTTACATGTTTTCTGTTGTTTGCATTATTTTGTAGGCAGGAATGTTTTAGTGCGTTTATGACATGAATAATGGATTATTGTGAATAACTTCATCAGTGTGGTGGTGCTAGAGCTGCTCTACCAGCAGTGGTCTGATGTTTTATAGCGACCTCCACATGTCCTCTAACAAAGAGCAGCTGGAGCAACTGTCTCTAAAGGAATCTGGGATTTTTTCATGAAGATCGAGTCAGTCATCAGAAACTCAGGTGGACTGATGAGCTATTGGGCAGAACTGAAGATGTGAATCTCAGTGATGGAAGATGATTTCTGAGGGACCTTCTCCTGCCCGGCCTGTGTGTTTAATATATTACGTGTACTTTAAAGTCCTGCTGTTCTAAATAGAAGTGATGCAGTCGTTGTACGAGGACATCCGTATGATTAATTGGACATTAGATTAGATTAGATCAGATATGACTTTATTGATCCCTTTGGTAGGGTACCTCAGGGAAATTGTTGGGTTTTTTTGTTGTTGTTTTTTACATCAGTGACGACATACAGGCATGTGCTCACTTCTGTTACTGAGTGTAGTTCCCCAACTGTTTTGGTATTTTATGTTCAAAACTATATATATACTCGTTTGATCTGCGTGTAAAGGTTTGAAGCTTTTGGGGGACGTGGTGGCCGAGCAGAGCAGGCCTCTGACTGATGAGTCCTCTCCGGGGCACCGTAGTGGGCCTGACCCTGGATCCCAGCTTCTCCTTCCACCATCGATAAAGTACGTAAATAAATCAACGGTGTGTAATATTTCAGATGGACACAAACCTGCCAGAGGGGAATGGACAGGAGCTACCATCACAGAAGGAGGAGGGTGAAGAGATGGAGGTCACCATGACAACGCCACTGGAAACTGTCGCCATGACGCCCGACAGTACGGACAAGAAAACGCATCCGGAGGAAACGGGAGACGTACAAACACACTCAACAGCGTCTGTGGACAGGGTGTGTAAGACAGAGGACTGTGATGAGGAGGACTCCGACGACTCAGACAGGTACACACAACACCTGGACAGGTACACACAACACCTGGACAGGTCGCTCTTCATCGTTGTTGGTCTGTTTGGTTCTCAGTCTTCATCGTCTGTGGGTTTGATGCTACAGATGTTATCAACAGGAAAACTGACAGAGCCGTTCTTTTCCTTTCTTCAGCGACAGTTCCTCTAGCTCATCCTCTTCCTCCTCCTCTTCCTCGTCGTCCTCGTCTCCCTCTGTCCGTGTGTTTGAGGAGGATGATGATGAAGGTTTCAGCCAACCAGTGCCCATCAAAACAAGAGATGAAGTTCTGCTGGAGGTCAGTCTGTGATTGAATGTGTTTTCATTAGAGGTTAATTATGATCTTAAAGCTGACTGTGGTTCATATGTTGACCGTAATCCTGCTGTGTGCTGCAGACGGTTACCTGCAGGGGGAGTCGGTGCTACCTCAGCCCCTCAGTAGCATCTCTGGATGAGCTCATCTCTGCTAGCTCTCTGCAAGTCTGAAGGCAACACATGGCTTGTCTAATGAGTGCTGCATATTTTACAGTGCAGTACGGGTGGAAGTGTACCATTACAGAGCAGTTTCCCATCGTCTTGTCGTTTTGTGTTGGTCATGCTTTGGTTTTTGAGGCGATCGTGATGAAAAGGACACATTTGTTGTGCTGCAGCTGGATGCAGGTAGACCAGAGGGCTGCACTACGAGCCAGATCAGTGGGTTATCAGGTACATTCAGCTTAAAGTCGCAGTTTTCACTGTCATGAAGGTGACTCTGTTTTTACCTGCTAGCTCACAACTAGGTCTCCACGGTAACTGATACTGTGGAGCTAGGTCTCCATGGTAACTGATGCTGAGGAGCTAGATCTCCATGGTAACTGATGCTGAGGAGCTAGATCTCCATGGTAACTGATGCTGAGGAGCTAGGTCTCCATGGTAACTGATGCTGAGGAGCTAGGTCTCCATGGTAACTGATGCTGAGGAGCTAGGTCTCCATGGTAACTGATGCTGTGGAGCTAGATCTCCGCCCCCGACTAAACTGCTAGCTTTCCGTGGGGTAACTTGTGACAGTATTTGATAGGGTCCGACCAATACAGATTTTTTGAAGCTGATGCCAATTCCAAAATTTGGCAGAAGAAATTTCCAATCACCCTTTACATTGCGCTGTCCCATTTTTTTACTGTGACTTCAGGAAGCGCTTTCTCTTTGAGCCACAGCCTGTGTTACAGCAGACCAGGTCATGTGCTGTGATCGAAGCCCTTCATCAGGATGTCTGCTGATGTAATCCTGTGTTATGTATTATTTAGGGTGCTGAGCACAGGTGAAGGAAACTGTTCCTCCCTGGTTGTGTTCAGTGGTCGGCCAGTAAAGACACGCTGACTTGTGATCAGTGCATGTCGGTGTGTGTAGGGAGGCCCAGAGATGGACTTTCTAGACTAACACTAACAGCAGGAAGACAGATGTGTCCGCCACACTCTGTCCTGTGGGCTTGTTTTCTTTTTCACCATCCGTCCGATGGTCAGCAGTCACTCTGACACTTTCCACAAGCCAGCAGAGAAAGCAGCAGCATCTCAGTGAGCGTCTTGTGGTCCACGTGCTGAACTGTCATGTTGTGTGTGTGTAGGAGCTTCCAGCGGTGGAGGAAGTGTGTGTGACGTTACCCGAGGAAGCAGAGCTGCAGCCAGTGGGAACCATCTCCAGTATCGTGCAGCAGCTCGGTACGTACAGACCGTCACCTCATCCTCAGGCTGCATTCAGGTGTTGGAGGTTTTCACATGAGGAAGGAGACAGTGTTGCCTTGTTTTCATCAGACAGCACTTTATTAGCTCTGTCTTTAATACTGTCTCTGTGTGTGCAGTTATTATCCAGTCTCTGAAAGACACGCCCCCTCTGAACGACGACAGCATCCTCTTCAGGTCCGATAAGCTGGCGGTGGGCAAGGTGAGCGGACCGGCACCAGCATGCTGGCTGTTAGTGCCTCTGTCACTTCTTCTCCTGTGACCTGCTCTTGTCCACATGGTGATGATGTTCTGCTGGTTCTGTGTTTGAGGTTTTTGAGGTGTTTGGTCCAGTGTCCAGCCCGCTGTACATTTTGCGTTTTAATTCTGCGGACCAGATCGTCAGCCGGGGGCTGACGGAGGGACTGACGCTTTACTACGCACCATCCATTAAGGAGTACACAGAATACATCCTCACACAGCAGCTCAAACTGTAAGTACTCACAGATATATGTGTGTATGTATACTGGACAGCCTGTGGCGGCGGTTCTGAACCGGGTTGGCTGTGGAGAAAGCTTTAGTGCAGCTAACACCAGTTCTGTTAGTCATCACCTGGAACAGCTGGAGCGATGCAGCACCGTGCGGCTAATAAAATAAGAGTGGAAATGAAAACAGGAATAAATAAAATAAAAAGTAAATAATGTGGCAATACTAATCTAAAATGAATCCATAAAAGA